AAAACAACATAACTGGAGTCAACATACCTTAAGACGAGCTTAGTGTCATCTTCATGGTGGGAGGCTGGCTTCCCCTTACTAATCACAAATTGAGGAATACCAGTGTTGACTAGGGGTGCCCTCAGCATTTGATTTAGTGGGTCTTTTCTAGACCCACTAAAACAAACTCCAGAAGATCAGTCTCCAGTATGGCAAGTAGAGATAAGGCCAGAGATTGGATGAGGCATCCATAAAGGGGGAACAGCACTGGGAGCCAGAGAGCAGGGAAATATGGGTGGAGGTAACTGAAGATCAGTGTTGGAAAGCGTGAAAGATCAAATAAGGAGAAAAGAACAAGGACAGCGGTGGATTAGAAATGGGAAATAAGGTATTTGGGACATAGATTTTTGGGACCCCTGCCTGAGTAGGTGCACATGAAGTATTGGCTCTGGGAATGAATTAAGGTTATATAGTGAAGGAGACTTGTGTGTAGGACACCTGCTTCATTTATTGTGGAAGTTGTAATGCGGGTGGTAAATTTGGCAGGGACTGCAGTAAGGGAAAAGATGATTTTTAGGACACCTGCTTCATTTATTGCGGAAGTTGTAATGTGGGTGGTAAATTTGGCAGGGGACTGCAGTAAGGGAAAAGATGATTTTCTGGTAGATGCAGCTGAATGCTGCTCTGGAGAACTGGATCCCATTTTCACTACATCACAGGAATTCCTGAGTAATGCTATACAAGTAGCTTAAATCAGACTTTCCATTCTATTCCTTATTTGCTGGATATCCAACTTGAGATGTTGGGGGCCTGATTTGTGGAAGACTTAAGCACCCATCTCCAACTGCCATCACTGGAAGCTGTGCTTAAATACACATAAAGCTAAGTACTATGAAAAATCTGGCTCTCGGTTTCTCAAACGGGACCCCCAAAATTAGTAAATAACTTTAATTTCAATCTCTACACCTGCAGTCTCCATCTATAAAATGGGGATAATATTCCCTCAATTCACAAGAGTCATATGAAAATAAATTCATTATTGTTTGAGAAAGAATCATACTATAGCAGTGAGCTCCTGGAGAAGCACTGAGGCAAATAAATAATTCAGTCTTCAGAACAGATTTGAATCGTGCGCAGCAGGCATGGACTAAATATTGAAAAAAAACAGGGAGAACACACAATATGGTATAGCCTTATTAGTACAGCAGGCATGGACGAAATATTGAAAAAAATAGGGAGAACACACAATATGGTATAGCCTTATTAGTGGAGCAACTCTTATTCAGTGCACAGAATGAAGAGTCTTATGGAAAAATTCACATGTGATCATGTAATTTGAGGCTGTATCATGGTATTTTTGCACAAATGGGCCAAACTATGTTGTATAAAAAAAGAATTCTGGCACTAACTTTTGAGTCTGACTTGAAAATCTTAACAGTATTTTAATCTTAATTTCTGGTTTTATATGTACATATTCATATTAAATAAATGGCAAAGCTATTTGTGTAATCTTTCCTT